AGAGAACAGGTTTTTCATCTTTATAAATGAGCAGGTCAACATTTATAAACTATGTATAAAATGCTTTTATTGCTGCTTGTTCATTTGTTAAATGTACAGGATTGTTCTATATGAAGAAAGCTGTAGTCACCAAAATGGGTGGCAGGAAAAAAACATTCGATTTGATTATACTAATTAAACCAGTCAAACTGATTTCCATTCTGCTGGTGGAATGGCCACTAGAGGAAGTGTTGGTCTTTCTTAACTTCAGCATTTACATTTCTGTTCCTTTGATCAAGCTAATTAAGCACTATGTTCACGCTGCCCTTTTGCTCTGGTTGTGTATTCATACAGCTCATTAATGTTTTACAGGACTGAACCACTGAAGACTCTGAAGGTGGCCCGTGAAAACTGGCACAGAGCAAATTTCATTTATTATTGTCCTGATAAAAATTCTCTAAAGTATCCGGATCTATCTAATAGAAAAATGTCTATTGATCCAATTCAAAAGATTATTTTAAAACAAAATGCTTGTGATTTTGAAAGTGATTATATAAATATCAAAAATATAGATATAGAGAATGAAGAAATGATAACATCTGAGAAAGATATGAACAAAAGAAAGGAGAAAACACAATATGCATTTTACTTTTTTAGAAGTAGAAATGGGTTCTTTACGGATCCATTTGGTCCATATTTCCCAAAAGATAAAGGTAAAGTTCACAGTGAGGATTTGGTTTGTGCTGAAATAGAAAAACTAGGAAAAGGGCTTATAGAATACAGTGACCTGTATATTTACACAGTGTACAGCCCCTGTATGGGGAGAAAAAGTACTGACCCCTGCATGTGTCGGTTAGACCTTTTATCTGATATGTTGGGCAGATGTTATGGGATTAAACTTTACATCTTTTTTTCAAAATATTAGGACCTTTTCTTTTACATCAATATATTAACACAAAACAAGTTCTAGAATTAGCTAGGACCCTAATTAAAACTGATGACCTCCAATCTACATTCCCCCTGAAAACATCATTTAAAGTTCTGATAAATCAGTTCATGAATTCTGATAAACTTACAAAATCATATAAATTGTTTAACAAGATATTAAGAGACAAAAGTAAATTTCGCAGCATGTGCTCTGAATCTGGTCAGACATATGAAGAGTTTAAAAAGATTGGAATGAAAATATCAGAAGAATTTGAGAAAACACTGAGAGCTTTCATTAGTGAAGAGGATCATCAGAGTGTCCTTAATTACATCCGTGAATTTGAGACCTGGTGGGATGGGATTTTAAGAAAGTCATATTGTGATTTTTTTAGACTAAGTGAATGTTTTAACACAGAGGTGACCAGGCGCTTCATTCACGACAGCCAGCAGCTTCCATATGGACCCATTATACGCTGTATTGGTGACATCACCTGATAACCCTCTGTAGGAAATCTGAATTTGACAATATTGTAATAACTTTGAATAAATGAGTTTTACCCCTCAGTGGCACTGTGTTCATCTTTTCATGTTTTTATCTTCTACTTTGCTCTGACTTTGGGAGGGATAAGGGGGACAGATATTTAGTTCTGTTATGGGTGACCGAACAGAGCAGAGAGTTGACAGACCGCAGCGGGAGGCCTGGCTATGGCAGCGTAACTAAGAGGGAGAACCAGAGGGTAACAAGGACATGAGGGCTCCCTGAGAAGTCAGCGCCCCTCTGCTCCATCGTTAACAAACTAGAGTGAACACGTAAGAGCAGCGGGATGACAGCACCAACATTCCCAGGTTACCATAAGACACCATAAGAACCCCCAGATCTGCACCTTTTTTCTAAAAGGAAAACTAATTAACCAAAGGCTCGACTAAACAGGTACGTTTTTAGCCTAGACTTAAAGATGGAGGCTGTGTCTGAGTCCCGAACACTGACTAGGTTGATAGTACGAAAATACAGATGAACACACGTATTAATATCAGTGCAGTCTTGTACAGGTAGAGGGCAGTACTGCAGCACACTGGACTAGAAATGAAATGACTACAAGACTAAAGTACAGAAGTTTAGCATTATTATGAGTATTAACTCTGAGTATAAACCAGAAAACTTCAAATCTCATGAAGCTTCAGCAGCTTTCTGTAAAACTAGACTCTCAAAGCTCATCAGCTCGATACTAGTACCAACTTACAGTGCCCTTATTTGAAACTTCATTATTACGTCTCTTCATTGCCATACAAAACAAGTAAGAGTGATGTAGGGGATCCTTCTTATCTCACAGTCTCGCACAGTGTGATGTTTAATCCCAGTGAATGCATCATCTCAGTGGTTAGCAATTCAGAGAATCTGCTGAAATCCTAACCTGTTTGAAGGTGCAGTGTGTGAGATTTAGAGGAATCTACTACCAGAGAATGATTATAATATACCGCATGTTCTTTAGTGTATAATCAGCTGTAACTATGAATCATTGTGTTGTCGTTATCTAAGAATGCGCCTTTCACGTCTACACAGGGAGCAGCTCCTGTTCAACAGCAGCCCCCACTGCCATGTTTCTACAGTAGCCCAGAGCAGACAAACCACACACTGGCTCTCTCTCACACTCTCAGCTTGAATTTGGTGGCTGGTGATGCTGACCATTTTGTGTTGTGAGAAGTGTGAGAACAAGAGTTCTACAGCTGCATCGTTCATTCTTAAAAAGGTGCTACAGTCGTTCTTTGAGTGGAGGCTGTGGTGTATTATAGGTGAAAAATAATAAAGAAGAAGTGTGTGGTACAGAAGTCCAGAGAGGCCATGAGGTAGTTATAAGTTTCTTAATTATTATCTTGAGATAACAAGATAATTAACTTGTAACTTGACAACGAATTAGTTGTCTTGTTATCTCAAGATAATGAGTTAGTTATCTTGTTATCTTGAGCTTAAAGTTAAAAGAAGCAAACTGAGTCTATGAACTGTATTTCTATTCTTCAGAACCTTTTTTTCTTTGGTGTTGGTATTTAGAACATATAGAAGAACCATTAGTTAGTTTAGAACCATGTTTGTAGATACATGTGTGAGATAGAACCTTCATATCACATAAAGGTTCTTTATCAATTTTCATTTACGTTATCTAGAAGTTGTTGAAGACCCTTTCATGAGGTGAAGATTAGTCTCATCCAGGAAAGAACGAGTGATTCCATTTGGGTTCTACCAGCTTCTTTACTCTCTGGCACCCCTTCTGGTTCTGTTCCAAACATCTATGAAGATTTTGCATCAGTTGCTCTGAAATGTTGTTGTTTGACAGGTTATATATGTGTTGTATGTTGTTCTGTGCTGCTCTGTGTTGGTAAGTGGGGTTATTGTGTGGGTGTTTTCTGGTGCAGTGTTGGTGTCTAACATCAGGGAGATTTGATTGGCTGTTGACGACCTGCCTGCTGTTTCAGCTGTTCAGCAGAGCTGCTGCCGTGTTCAGTAAAAGAGGATTTGTCTGAAGTGTTATGTTTCCCACAACTCCTTCTTCACCAAATCATCACAGTACTCAACAGCCAAGCAGTAAGCAGTGCTAATAACACACTACAAAGATCTTCATCATTGTACAAAGTTCATGTCTCTAGAGGAGTTTTTAAAGAGACCACCTACTAAAGAGCCCCTCACTCCTGTCATACAGAGCATGGTGTTTATATGATCACCAACTTTTCCATGAAAAAAAGCTCAGTACGAACATTAAAAACTCAGACCACTGTTTTTAAACTGGGACATTAGAGCTCAGGCTGTGTTGTGGATGACTCACTCGTCCTGCCGTGTTACTGGCTGCACGTGTTCGGCCTGCTCTACACTAGCGTTTCATTTTTTAACATTAAAAAAAAAAACAAAAACGAGACTTCAGTCTACACTAATTAGATCATTAAACATGAAAAACAAGCCTCTAAACAGACTTCAGGTTGTTAACTGTGATGTGAAACATTAAAGACCCCCTCCCGATCATCTGCTGCAGTCTTTCCACTGCAGTCCTTTAAAGACAACTTCCTCTTTTTGTTCTTTGTTTCCTGCAGTTGTTTTTTGTGAGTTCATTTCAACCTCAGCTGATCTCCCACGCCCCTCCTGACCCTCTTCAACAGACACTTCCTTCATGAGTGAGTTTAGCAGCCTGTTAGAGTCCCAGTGACCGTCCTGGCCTTCTGCATCTGTTTTTCTTCGTCTATGTTTCTTTTTGTTTTTCTATCTTTTTCTGCAGCTGATTTTCTGTGCCTGTTATTCTGTATGAAATATTATTAAATTCTGTATTATTAAATTTAATACTTTGTATATTTTTCTTGTACTTTTGTACATATACATATATCTTTATATTTTTATTGTTTATTCTATTTTAAATATTGTTTGTATATTTCCTGCTGCTCTGTCTTCTGTGCTGCTGTAACACCGCAAATTTCCCCGTTGTGGGATTAATAAAGGATTATCTTATCTTATCTTATCTTATCTTATGTCTTTTTCTGATGTTCTTAATTCTACAATTTTACTTCCTATAAATAAAATCATTTACTGTGTGTTTTACTCCCATGTTATTTTCAGATAAAGACAAATTCCAAAGTTGCTGTACTGACTTTCAATCTTTGATGGTGGATTGATGCTCAGCCTAATACTATAAAACTCTAAAATGATTTTATATAATTGCAGTGAGATGTTGATTAAGCAGATATGATGCTGTGAGAGCTGAACACCGTATTTCTAGAAATGTAAAAAAACTGACCAATTAAATTATTTTAGATGAAGCGAAAAAAATAACATTTTATTAATGGGTATTTAGGATTTGTTACCTTTGTGTTACCATAACTAGTTACAGCTGCAGTTACTAATTTATTACTTACTAACAACTGGAAAGATGTGATTGATCGGTCTGTACAAATTGTTACCATTATATTACCATATTATTACCCACTTATTACAAATTTATAAAGTGCAGTCAATGTAGAAATGAATCAGATTCAACCGTATGAATAGCCACAGCAGTTCACACTGATGTTTATGTGTGCATGTGTTGCAGAGTGAGTGGAAAGATGAGGCTCAGAAACACAGTTGGGTTTTGGTTTATTTATTGCAGTGTGTTCAATAGCATTAAATTCTAATCCATTTTCATTTTCATTCAGGAAGAGGAAGTTCAATAAACTTTAGAAAGTCCAGTTGGGTCAGATTCTTACTATCATCAGTTAAAATGTCCTGAGGAACGTTGTTGTTATCATCAGTTAAAAGCTGTGGCAGAAGGTCCTGGTGAAGCTTCTGGATGTCCTGAAGGAAGAACTGAAAAGCTGTTCTGTTTATATGTTCGCTAAGTAATGCTTGATCTACACTAGCATTGAACCATTTCTCAAAGCCAGATCTGAAAGCATCACAAATACGATTATAAAGATCGTTATCAGCTATTTCTCCCAGTATTTCATTAAACTTCTTTTTCCAGCCTTTTAATGTGTTATAAGACTCATAGACCTCTGTTTTAAATTTGCCTAGTCTGTCTAACAGTGTAATCTGGTCTTCACCTTCAGTGGCATTTTTAATAAAACTGCGCACATCAAACTGCTTTATCGTTTTCAGGCTAAATTTGTATTGAGGGTTTGAATCCTTAATTTTTTTTATAGCTTGTGTGACTAGATCATTGTATTTACGGTCTTTCGAGGGACCTAAAAGCTGACTGATGGGTCCTGCAAATCCATAATATATTGAAAAACCAATGTATGTTTTAATATTATACTCTTTAAACAAAAACCATGTTAAACAGGTTAACAGAACGATGCAGGGCACACTATCTTCACCTTTTTTGCCCATACAGGGACTGTTTAGAGAATATATATAAAGATTACTGTTTTTAGTAATCTCTCTATTTTCTACCATTTCCATTATTTTTTTAACTATAAAATCCTCACTATGTTGATCATTTTCTGGGAAATGTGGACCAGTTTTCCACTCTAATGTTTGATCTGTGTTTATTAAAAAGGCAAAACCGTATTGTTTGTTTTTATCAGGTGCTTCATTCTCTACTTTTTTTATTAAGTAAAGAAAATTAGGACTGTTATTATTTTTTTTTAAAGTTTTATATCTATTTAGTATATATTTGGCAGAGTCTATACTCTTGGGTAGGAGTAAGTATCGTATAGCCTTTTTAACAGAACAGTAATAATCAATTCTGTTCATTTTGCTCTGTTTCCTAATCTCCACCAGTCCAGTCCTGTAAAACAGTACAGACCCGTATTAATAAAGCTGTAATACAGTGTTGTTATGATGATGAAGTGTTAATGTTTATTTATCTTTGTTACTCACAGCAAATCATCCACAGTAGCTGGACGGTCATTGGTGGACTGAGTAGCGTCCACAGTAGCTGGACCATCGGCTGATCCTGCTTCATCATGAGTACGACTCTCCTCGACTCGTGGACGTTTTATCCTGGAGATCACAGCAGCATTCAGTAAAACTTCCTGTGAGCCCTGTATTCATAATGCTTTATAAAGCATAAAAGTGTTTTTTAATGTGACATAAATTTAAAACCCTGCAATGTTATAAAGTACAACCTTGTTTTAAAAAAAGTTGGGACACTGTGTAAAATGTAAATTAAAACAGAATGTAATGCTGTGCAAATCATTTAAACCTATATTTAATTGAAAATAGTACAAAGACAACATATGAAATGCTGAAACTGAGAAATTTCATAGTTCTTTTTAAAAACATGCCCATTTTGAATTTGATGGCAGCAAGATGTTCATATTTATAGCTGAAAACATGTTCTATGCAAATCAGTTAAAAGAAGGGTGGAGTAATTTGTGATCATGTTAGAGTTATAAAAAAGTATATGCTAATTTTCACAAAACAAAGTTTTCTTAAAAACACAGGTTTAATAACTTTCTTTAATAATCCATTAACAGATCATTTATAGCTGTGAACAAATCAGTTCATCAGAATCTGATACTGTACAAACGTTACTGTTGACCTGTGTATTTATATTTCTAACGGCTGTAAAAGCTGTTTTTCTGTTTATTTACAGTAAACTCTTTCACCAATGAGTAACGGGTTTTACAACATCAGGTTTTGTACACAAATAATCACAGTGACTTCCTGAAGTGTAATAGTGGCATAACGCATGTATGTAATGTCCAGTATGTTTATATGATAATAAAACATCTCCTGTGAAGAAACATGAGTAAGATATCGATCCTTTAGTTAAGGGCCTTTTAAAGAGCAGCTGAAGAGGAAACTGTTTATAATCAGTTCATGTTTCTAAGATAAAATGAAGTCTGAGCACTGAGCTGTTGTAGTTTCTGACCTCCTTTGATGATTTCAGATCTTTGTCATCATCACATATTCAAAAACATCGTTGACTTCAGAGTATATTCATAGTAGGATCCTATAGTATAGGATATTTTCAGGTATCAGAGTGATCTGGGAATCAGACCATTTATATATATATATAATATATATATATATATATATACTATTTTATTATCATTATTTTTATTATTATTATTATTATTATTAAGTGCTGTCAAGTCCTTTCCGACTCCTGGTCACCGTATGGACGGTGTTGCTCCAGAATGCTCAGTCTTCTGTTTGGGTCTTCAGGCTTCTGAACTGCTGCTTCATGACTCCTCTGATTGTCTCCATCCGTCTTGTAGCTGCTCGTCCTCTTTTACGCTCAGTTCTTCCAATCATAACAGTCTTTTCCACTGAGCCGGTTCTTCTCAGAATGTGTCCAGAATAAGGTCTTCAGTTTGGTTTGTTCTGCTGGGTCTTTGTTGTGTTTTGTAGGAGAAGCTGTCCACCATCTCCACATCTTCTCCATCAGGGTCCAGTTAACAGTCTTTCCTGTCGTCACAGCCTCAGTCTTCCTCATAGAGAGCTTATCTGATTACTCAGCCATAAATACTGGACACAATGTAAAGCTACTGTCACTGTTAGAAAGACACATTTTTATCTTTCTCCCTTTTTTTACTCGTTTTTTTCTCAGTAATGAACTGTGAGGATCCGTGTACATGAACTTATTTATCAGTGAAAGGGTTTGTTGTAAATGAACAGCAGGAACATCATTTATAAACATGAACAATCACATCAGCTACGAGACAAACTGTCATTTACATTCGTTCATTTTCAAATTCTGACGAACTAAACATTCTCAGCTGTTCATGGTCTGTTAACAGTTTATTAAACCTAGTTACTATATTATACTATACTATTTAGTATATAGCATATTTAGTCTGAAACAGTGCAGTTCATTTTATTAAAGAGGCTCAGAAACACTTACTACTAAAAATTTACACTTAAACCTTTTTTTTATTTTCCTTTATTTATAATTTTTTTATCAAGTGTTTTTGGGTGACTTTTAATTAGTTATTATTATTGTTATTGTTATTATTATTATTATTATTATACTGTTATTTTATTTTAAATATACTCGGTTGGTTTATCATAAGCTCTGAGATGGAATGTGTAAAACATGTTGAGACTTCATACAAATATCTGGATGTTTATCTACTTTTCTTCTCAGTTCAGTCGTAGTTCTAAGTTCCACTGTTCTCCCTCCTTCAAACAGTGATACCACACTGGAATAGAAACACCCCCCACCCCCCCCCAAATCACTCCAACCCCCTCCCCATCAAACCCGCCCAGTTTCAGGTTCATGTTCTACTCACGGTGAATATTGCTCTTGTGAGGAACTGCGCTTCCTGGAATCCTGTGATCCAAACAACATCAACTTTCAGAATAATAATTCACACACACACACACACACAGACACATATATCTTCCTCTCTGTTGTGTCTCTTTTTCTCTTTTTTATTCTTCCTCTTTTTCTCCTTTCTGTTTTTTCTCTCTATTTTCTCTTTTTTATTCTCTCTTTATAAAGAACCACACAGTAAAAGCAGGTAGAAGGACTCTGATAATGCTAAACTGTAGAGCCAAAGTAAAGCGAGAACTCACCGGTTTTCCGGTTCCCCCAGATGGAGGGCTGGGATGGGGGTCCTGCAGATCTCCCTGGTCTTGACCATCGTTCCCACAGTGGATCGGCTCTACAGGACGGTCTGCATCACTGATCTTTAACACTGTTGGTGCTAGATCATCAGGAGCCTGGGGTTCTCCCCACCCCAGCCCTCTCTTTTGCTCTTCTACTTGTGTAGAGGAAGTACTTACTACTTCTTTATTACATGGGTTAGTTGAATCAGTTTGCATCAGCTTGTGAGGGAGCTCTGCTGGTGAACAGAGCTTTATAGTGTCCGGTTCTGTGTCGTCGTGGCGATGCTGGGCGGAGACGCCACACTGTGAATAAAGACTTCCTGAGTCACATTGTTTCACAGAAAGAGACAGAGAACTGAAACTTTCCACTGACCAGCTCTACAGACCATCTGGCTAAACTAGAACCGCATTTACACACAGCACAGGAACACAGAACAGCACTGGGACATAGAACAGCACAGGGACACAGAACAGCACTGGGACATAGAACAGCACAGGGACATAGAACAACACTGGGACATAGAACAGCACAGGGACACAGAACAGCACTGGGACATAGAACAGCACAGGGACACAGAACAGCACTGGGACATAGAACAGCACAGGGACACAGAACAGCACTGGGACATAGAACAGCACAGGGACATAAAACAGCACAGGGACATAGAACAACACAGGGACATAGAACAGCACAGGGACATAGAACAGCACAAGGACATAGAACAGTACGGGGACATAGAACAACACGGTGACATAGAACAGCACAGGAACACAGAACAACACAGGGACATAGAACAGCACAGGGACATAGAACAGCACAGGGACACAGAACAGCAAAGGAACACAGAACAGCAAAGGAACACAGAACAGCACAGGGACATAGAACAGCACAGGAACACAGAACAGCAAAGGAACACAGAACAGCACAGGGACACAGAACAGCACAGGGACACTGAACAACACAGGAACATAGAACATCAAACAACAGCACAGGGACATAGAACATTACAGGGACACAGAACAGCACAGGAGTGTATATAGGAATACATAGAGAACTCAAGTTTATTAATATAGCACGTTTCATACACTGCTGTGGTTCAAAGTGCATTACAAATGATAAATTACAGAGTCAATTAAAAAAGTAAAGGAATAAAAACCTAATTAAAACAATCAATTTCAGAGAAAAAAACATTAAATCCAAATCAAATTAAAAATAAATTAAGATAAAGTGCCGTTACAGAGGTAAAGGGTCTAGAAACACTAACAGTGTGTAAACTGAGCTGAAAGCTGCTCTATCAGGATCGTTTTCAGGCTGGTTTAAAGTGTCCAGAGTCGGGCTCTTCTAATGCTCTCTGTCCACTGCGTCCATTTAAGAGCAGCAAGTCAAGTCAAGTCAAGTCAAATTTATTTGTATAGCGCTTTTTACAACTGATGTTGTCACAAAGCAGCTTCACAGAAATCCATTAAAGACAAAGTTTTAACATGAACTGTAAATCCTCCAGGTGAGCAAGCCAGGAAAAACTCCCTCAGAGCTGAGGAAGAAACCTTGGGAGGAACCAAGGCTCACATGGGGGGACCCATCCTCCTCTGGTCAAACTACCTACACAATTATTATACTACTAATATTAATAGTAGTAGTAGTAGTAGTAGTAGTAGTAGCAGTAGCAGTAGTAGTAGTAGTAGCAGTAGTAGTAGTAGTAGTAGTAGTAGTAGCAGTAGTAGCAGTAGTAGTAGCAGTAGTAGTAGCAGTAGTAGCAGTAGTAGTAGCAGTAGTAGCAGTAGTAGTAGCAGTAGTAGCAGTAGCAGCAGTAGCAGTAGTAGCAGTAGCAGTAGTAGCAGTAGTAGCAGTAGTAGTAGCAGTAGTAGCAGTAGTAGCAGTAGTAGTAGCAGTAGTAGTAGTAGTAGTAGTAGCAGTAGTAGCAGTAGTAGTAGCAGTAGTAGCAGTAGTAGTAGTAGTAGCAGTAGTAGCAGTAGTAGTAGCAGTAGTAGTAGTAGTAACAGTAGTAGTAGTAGTAGTAGTAGCAGTAGTAGCAGTAGTAGTAGCAGTAGTAGTAGCAGTAGTAGCAGTAGTAGCAGTAGCAGCAGTAGCAGCAGTAGCAGCAGTAGTAGTAGTAGTAGTAGCAGTAGTAGCAGTAGTAGCAGTAGTAGTAGCAGTAGTAGTAGCAGTAGTAGCAGTAGTAGCAGTAGTAGTAGCAGTAGTAGTAGTAGTAGTAGTAGCAGTAGTAGCAGTAGTAGCAGTAGTAGTAGCAGTAGTAGCAGTAGTAGTAGTAGTAGTAGTAGCAGTAGTAGCAGTAGTAGTAGCAGTAGTAGTAGTAGTAACAGTAGTAGTAGTAGTAGTAGTAGCAGTAGTAGTAGTAGTAGTAGCAGTAGTAGTAGTAGTAGTAATAGTAGTTAGGAGTCCATGAAAACTTCAGTGTAGAGTGGGAGTGGGCAGCTAGTCCAAGTCAAGTGGCGGTAGCTGGGCAAGTGGCGGTGACTGGGGTGTGGGCAACTGGTCTGAAGCGGATAGCAGGAGAGCTCCACAGACAATCATCCATCAGTGTCCGTCCGGCAGGTGGGCAGTCGTTTACTCGGAAAAAGGAAGGGAGATGGAATTAGTTTAGTTCTGTTTATGTAAAACAGAGAATGTGAACATTTCCAGACTGTGGCTAACGACTCCGGCAGATCTGACTATAACAGCTTAACTAAAAGGAGAGAACCAAAAGGACACACAGACACAGGAGCACCCTGAAACAATCTGGCATCCCTCCACTCCACCGTCCACAAACCTGAGTGATCGCGTGCGAGCGGCGGGACGGCAGCACCAGCGTCTCAGTTTACTATAATTCCCTGCGTCCATGGACCCCTGGATCTGCTGCCTTTATCCAGGGGGAAACATTAACTACCAAAAGCTAAACTAAACAAATGAGTTTTCAGCCTAGATTTGAATATTGCGACTGAGTCTGAGTCCCGAACATTTTCTGGAAGATCATTCCAGAGTTTGGGGGCTTTATAAGAAAAGGCTCTTCCCCCAGATGAAACCTTCTGAATTCTGGGAACTATTAAAAAGCCAGCACTCTGTGATCTGAGTAATCGTGGTGGCTCATAATGGGAAATAAGGTCTTGCAGGTACTCAGGAGCCCATGTAGGGCTTTATACGTCAATACGGAATTTAACAGGCAGCCAATGGAGTGATGATAGAACTGGACTGATATGATCAAATGTTCTAGTTTTAGTGAGAACCCTGGCTGCAGCATTTTGAACTAGTTGAAGTTTACTTAAATTCCTGCTGGTGCATCCTGACAGTACTGCGTTACAGTAATCTAGCCTTGAGGTAATAAAGGCATGTACTAATGTTTCTGCATCGTGCAGCGATAAGGCATTTCTTATTCTGGCGATATTGTGAAGATGTAAAAAGCTGTCCTGGTGATACTGCCTATGTGTTGATCAAATGATAAATCTGGATCAATTATGATGCCAAGGTTTTTTGCTGCTGAACCAGGTATAACTGGAAAGTCAGCGAGATTTAAAGTTAAATCTGATAATTTATTTCTTGCCACTTTTGGACCCAGAAGGAGAACCTCTGTTTTGTTACTGTTTAGGAGGAGGAAGTTACGCGACATCCAGCCTTTCACATCTTTTACACAGTCCTCTATTTTCTTTAACCTGTATTTGTCATCAGGCTTGGCTGATATGTACAGTTGCGTATCGTCTGCGTAACAGTGAAAGTTAATGCCATGGCTACTTATAACTGTGCCTAACGGTAACATGTATAATGTAAATAATAATGGTCCTAAAATAGAGCCTTGCGGAATTCCAGATCTTACTTGTGAATAATTGGAAGATGAATCATTTACCTTTACGAACTGATAACGTTCCGTTAAGTAAGAGTTGAACCCCGATAGGGCGGTCCCTGTGATTCCAACCATGTTCTCTAACCTTTCTAGGAGAATATTGTGGTCTATCGTATCGAAAGCTGCGCTGAGGTCAAGTAGCACTAACAGGGATACGTAGCCTTGATCAGAGGCAAGAGAAGATCATCTGTTATCTTAACTAGAGCTGTCTCAGTGCTGTGATGTGGCCTGAATCCAGATTGGAGTTTTTCATATATGTGGTTCTTATGTTGTTGGGCTACAGCTTTTTCTAAGATCTTAGATATAAATGGAAGGTTAGAAATAGGCCTGTAATTAGACAATACGCAGCATCAAGGTTTGGTTTCTTGATCAGAGGCTTAATAACTGCTAGTTTAAAAGCTCTGGGTACATGGCCCAGGCTAAGGGACGAGTTTACTATAGTTAAAAGAGGATTAATGATAACTGGTAGCACTTCTTTGAGTAATTTAGAGGGGATTGCATCAAGTGTGCAGGTTGAACAATTTGCAGAGGAGATAATCTTCTCTAGTTCTAGCTGTGGTAGTGGGTAGAAAGTTTCCAGCCTTTCCTCTGCAACTACGTTATGTTTTATATCAGCCAAGTTGGATTTAATACTGTGGGTTGAATTTGTTGTCTAATATTTTCAATTTTATTATTAAAAAAGTCCATAAAAACTTCACTGGTGAGAGTCGTCGGAATCTGTGTTTCAGTACCTGCCTGATTTTTTGTAATTCTGGAAATCACACTAAACAGTCCTCTAGGATTATTTTTATTGTTCTCGATCAGCGAGGCCAGATATGCTGAGCGAGCTTTAGTGAGAGCATTTCTATACTCTATAAGGCTGTCCTTCCAGGCCAAGTGGAACACTTCCAGCTTGGTTGATCGGCATTTCCGCTCTAGTTTCCGTACTGTTTGTTTTAAGGTACGGGTTTTATCATCGTACCATGGGGCGAGCTTTTTCTGTCTTATCCTTTTGAATTTTAAGTGGCGCCACATTTTCTAAAGTAGATCGGAAGGTATTTTCTAAATAGTCGGTTAGTACATCTAGCTCCATTGGGTCTGATGGAGTGGAGACTAGGGTTGTTAGTTCTGGGAGGTTTTCTATGAATTGCAGGGCGGTAAATGGTTTTATTGAGCGCTTTGCAGAATAGCGAGGGGATGTACATGTATTATAGCTAAGACGTAGCTCATAAGAGATTAGGTAATGGTCGGAGATTACTGAGGTTTGGGGTAGGATACTAAGCCTGTCTATGTCAAGTCCGAGTGTCAGAACTAGATCTAAAGTGTGACTACAGTAGTGCGTAAGCCCTGTTACATTTTGGGTGATACCAACAGAGTCTAGTCTAGCACAGTTTAGTCTTCACCTTCGGTAAGGTAAGTAGCCCCTTCCTTGCAGGCATGAACTGAACCATTTTAGGACAGTTCCTGAGAGGCCAACCCAGTTCTGTGTGTTTCTGATGGTTTCCCCAAAACATACACCTGCTGAGGGGGGTGCAAATATTTAGTAGCTACTAAGCTCAACATTAAAACTAGTTTGTGAGGTGCAACTCGTTTGGATTTAGTAATGCATAAACCTGAACTTAATGAACATTTACAGCACAACTATCCTACATTTGAACTTCCGCAGCGCTGGTGCAACCAGACACAGGTGTTTTTCCAGAGTCTGTATTCAAACAAACGTCATTAATAACTGTAATAAGAGCCGTTTCAGTGCTGTGATTCGGACGAAAACCTGACTGAAATTTGTCTAGGCAGCTATTTAAGGACAGAAAGCCAGTAAGGTGCTTAAAGACAGTTTCCTCAATAATTTTTCCCAAGAAAGGCAGATTTGAGTCTGTAATTTTTAGCTTTTATGTTGCCAGTTGTTTGATCCAAGTAGCCCTGAGAACATTTCGCTTCTCCCTGCAGGCAGAGGACCACTGATAAATGACTGCACGTTGAGCTTCCTGAGTGTGTTGAAGAGCTCGTTAAGGTCACTTTTTAATGCTTCCTTGTGTCATTCTTACCTACATGGACAACGACCCTCTTCACTGTTGTGTATTTTACACCATTAACAGAGTCATCTCCAAAAACAAAGGCGTCTGCTTTGGCCACAGACCTCTTTTTTTCTGTAGTTGTTTTTTTCAGCACTAACTGATCTGAATTCACTGAGCAGTTTACCTACATGTTTTCCTAACTGAGCCAAATTCCAAAATTCTTGTACTCTGGCTCCCTCAGTCCTTAGACCATTGATGGTAGAGATTCAATATGCTTGGCTGTGGTGAACAACATGAATTTAGTCTTTTTCAGCATTAAGCACTAATTTATTATATTATTTATGCATGTATGTGTTGTAAAGTGAGTGGAAAGAGACTCAGAAACACATCACAATGTTTTTTTTTATATATTTATTACAGTTTGAATACAGTATAGCCAAATTCAGATTCATTTTCATTTCAATTCAGTCCATTTCAGATCAGGAAGCTCAGTGATCCTTAGGAAGTCCCACTGTGGAAGGCTGTAATCATCAGTTAAAAGCTCCTGGAGAAGCTCTTTGGGAAGCTCCTGGAGAAGCTTCTGGAAGTCGTGAATGAAGCACTGAAATGCTTTTCTGTTTATATCTTCACTTAGTCTGTCATTTATGAAGTCATTACTTGCCTGTTTCACATCTTTATTCCACCATCTCCGAAAGGCAGATGTAAAAGCTTTACAGACAGGTTCCTTTACTTCACCCAGTAACGTCTTAAATTTTCTGTCTTCAGAAGGAAATACCTCTTCAAAAGTTTGCTCACTGTATGGAAAATGAAAGGTCTCTGGCTTATATTCATCTAGTGCTTTAAACAATCTATCCCTGTCTTCGCCTTCAGGAATGGCCTTTTCTATACATTTCTGTGGACTAAATGAAGGCAGGTTAAATTTGGATAGAAGGTCTGTGTTCTCAATGACTCTTCAGTTTCATGAGGAGCTAAAAGCTCACAGATGGATCCTGCAAATCCATGATGTTTTGAGAAGCCGATGCATGTTGTAATTTTATATTTTTTGAACAAAACAACTGATAAAAGCATTAAAATAATGATGCAGGGTGGACCTTCGTGTTTGCCAATACAGGGGCTGTTTAGAGAATAGATCCATAATTCACTGTATTTAGTAATGTCACCATTTTTCACTAATTCCAGTATTTCTTTAACTAAGAAATCCTCACTATGCTGATTATCATCAGAGTCTGGATAATGGGGACCAATTTTGCTTGATGTTTGATCTGCTTTTCTGAAAACTGCAAAACAGTACTGCTTGTCTGTTTTCTTTACCTTTACCTCCTGTATTAGTTCGAGAAAACTACTCTCAGTTTCACAAAATATGGAGCTAAAATTGTTATTGTTGATTCTTTTTAGAATACATTTGATAGAGTTGTCATTTTTAGAAAGGTGTGGGTACTTTAAAGTCTTTTCAGAAAAAGAATAATAAATTAACTCTTCCTTGTCCCATTCTTCCTTTTTAATGTCCACCTTCTTTATTATCTGCAGCAGTTCTTCCAGTTTGATCCTGTAAAACATTATTGAGCTGTAAGAAAAACCTGTGACTGTGATACCGTGTGAAAGTGTAAACATTACAGTTTATTTATTTTTATTACTCACTCTGTCTTGTCCAGCAGCTGAATAGTGATTTTTGGAGTCCTCACTCTCTGGGCTGTGAGCAGAGTGAGTCTCTCTGTCTCCGCTTGTGCGTCTTTTATCCTGGAGATCAGAAAAATGTTCAGTTATACTTCCTTTGAATTTGTATTCTTAATTCTTTATGATTACATGAATATGTTACATGGCATACATGATGCTTAATAATGCTTGGCACAGGCTTGTGTCATTGCTTATGACTAATTATAGCTACTTGCGTAACACTTTTTAAAAAAGGATATATAATTTAGAATCAGATTTCATAAAGCATCATAACATGTGTTCATAAGAACAGTGTAATCATAAATGTTGTAATGCCCTGTAACACAATATAAAATCGTTCTGGTATTTTACTAGATGCACATCCAGGTGAACATTTATTAGCAATAATCACTCCCATCCCTAAAGTGAAATAATCTGTTTTTTTTGTTTTTTTTTTAGTTTTAAAAAAGTTTTTAAAGAACCATACAGTAACAGCAGAAGGTGGAAGCATTCCTGCTAAACCCGATGATGCCAAACCTTAGAGCTATATAAAGTGAGTAGGAGTGGGCTATATGGGGAAAATATTATATACCATGCGCATCAAAATATTTTACTGCATCACAATAAAGATTTTCTCTAAGATTTAATAAATCTGAACAGATAAAATAGCACTTGTAGTGCCACATAAAAAAGATAATAATAATACACTACAACTACAATGGTTTTTATGCTACATGGCACTAAATCAGTTAAACAGGCCTGATTCTACTCTGTAATGAAACATGTAGTTGGGCAGTGTTCTTTAAGTACTGACAATATCCATCATATACTCAGAAAAGAGTTTCATGCCATAATTTACCATAATAGCAATAAAATATTGTCGTATTGCGCATCCTTAGAAGCGAGTACTCACCAGTCCTCCAGTATTCACCAGTTCTCTCTCTTGCTTTGTAGCTTGGATTGCCTGTTGTAAAATATTATGTTCTGGATTTTGACACTATCAACTATTATCAAATTGAGGAGACTCTGCTGATGAGCAGAATTGTGTCATCATAGTGATGCTGGGCGGAGCCTCTACATTACAGTAAAAATAGTTCTTCTTCAGTCTGTGAGTCACACTGTTTTAGAGAAACAGACAGAGAACCAAAACATTTCACTGATCAGCCTTACAGACCATCTGTTTCAACTAGATCCCAATTTATAACATATATAACTGCACAGAAACTTTAAACAATACCGGAACATACATCCCCATTTCCAAAAAAGTTGGGACACTGTGCAAAATAAATAAAAACAAAATACAATGATGTGCAAATCATTTATTATTATAATTCAAAAATATTTGTCCATTTTCAATTTAATGCCAACAACATGTTCTAAAAAAAAGTTGGGACAGGGGAACAAAAGGCTGGTAAAGTTGTGTAATGCTAAAAAAAACACCTGGTGGTTGATTGAGAAAAGTTTAGAGCATCTCAGAGAGTCTTTCAGAAGTAATGAGGAGGGGTTCACCACACTGTGAAAGACTGCACAATCAAATAGTGCAACAATTCAAGAATAACATTTCTCAACATAAAACGGCAAAGAACTTTTACTTTTCATCATCTACGGTACATAATAACATTAAAAGACTCAGAGAATCTGGAGAAATCTCTGTATGAAAGGGTCAAGGCCAAAAACCAGTATTAGCTGGCCGTGATCTTTGGGCCCTCAGACAGCACTGCATTAAAAACAGACATGATTCTGTAGAGGAAATCACTGCATGGGCTCAGAAACACTTCCTACCCAATTTCCTCTACAATTTAGTCGTCTCCAATTCCACCCGCTAGTTAGGACTCCCCCAATCACACGATGCTATCAACGCTATGAGGGTGAAGGCTAACACAGGCTTCCTCCGAGACCTGTGAAGCACCACCGCATCTTTTCGAACTGCCGCTCACGCAACGTCACTGGACAGCCGAACGCGCTCGGAGGAAAGCGCCAACCGCCAGATCTGTTACGTCAGCTAACAGACGCCTGCGCTGACTAGCATCGCGCTGAGTGATGGCGGGAGAAGAGCAGCCATCCCACCCACTCAGAGAGAGCGAGGCCAATTGTGCTCTCTCGGACTCCCGGCTGCCTTCACATGCATATGAACTTGAGTGACATGCCATTCTTAATCCATCGGGTTTAATATGATGTTGGTCCACCCTTTGCAGCTATAACAGTTTGAACTCTTCTGGGAAGGCTTTCCACAAGGTTTAGGAGTGTGTTTATGTGACTTTTTGACCTTCTTCCAGAAGCGCATTTGTGAAGTCAGACACTGATGTTGGACAAGAAGGCCTGGCTCACAGTCTCTGCTCTAATTCATCCCAAAGGTGTTCTATCGGGTTGAGGTCAGGACTCTGTGAGGGCCAGTCAAGTTCGTCCACACCAAACTCGCTCATCCATGTCTTTATGGAGCTGCTTTGTGCACTGTGCGCAGTCATGTTGGAACAGGAAGGGGCCGTCCCCAAACTGGACTCTAGAGCAGTGGAGACGTGTTCTCTAGAGTGACCAATCACGCTTCTCTGTCTGACAATCTGATGGACGAGTCTGGGTTTGGCGGTTGCCAGGAGACGGTACTTGTCTGACTGTATTGTGCCAAGTGTAAAGTTTGGTGAAGGGGGGATTATGGTGTGGGGTTGTTTTTCAGGACTTGGGCTCGGCCCTGACCTCAACCCGATAGAACACCTTTGGGATGAATTAGAGCAGAGACTGCGAGCCAGGCCTTCTCGTCCAACATCAGTGTCTGACCTCACAAATGCGCTTCTGGAGGAAGGTCAAAAATTCCCATAAACACTCCTAAACCTTGTGGAAAGCCTTCCCAGAAGAGTTGAAGCTGTTATAGCTGCAAAGGGTGGGCCGACATCATATTAAACACTATGGATTAAGAATGGGATCTCACTCAAGTTCATATGTGTGGGAAGCAGACGAGCGAATACTTTTGGAAATATAGTGTATAACAACACAGGAATATGTAACAGGCCATGTAAAGCTTATGCTTATTTACAAAGTAAAACCTTATAAACTATGGATTCTGAAACATGATATTTGAAAACAGTGTGAGAGCATGTTCAGGGGAGAACTTTCAGTTCAGGATAGAAGCTCTATTCCTAGAAGAAGGTGCTGACTTTATTTCAGTGAACGTTCATCAACCACAGAGGCAGAGGCTTATTTCTGGTTTCCCTTCTCAGTGACACAGGAAACATCTGCACTCTGCATGCATTAAAAAAGACTAAATGTCAGCATGTTAGGTTACGTGTCTTCTGCAGAATTTGTTGCCACACAGGAATATGTAACGGTCCAAGAACATGTATAACAGCACAAAAATATATAACAACACAGGAATATGTAACAACCCTGGTGAGTATATAACAGCACAAAAATATATAACAACACAGGAATATGTAACAACCCTGGTGAGTATATAACAGCACAAAAATATATAACAGCAGAAGAATATGTAACAGCCCAAGAACATATATAACAGCAAAAGAATTTATAACAAAATAGGAATATGTAACAGCACAGGAACATATAACAGCACAGGAACATATATCAGCACAGGAACATATAACAGCACAGGAACATATAACAACTCAGGAATATATAACAACACAGGAACATATAGCAACACAGGAAAATATAGCAAGACAGGAATATGTTAAAGCACAAGAACATATATAACAGCACAAATACATATAACAACACAGAAATATATAACAGCAGAGGAACATATAACAACACAGGTATATATAACAGCACAGGAACATATAACAACACAGGAATACATAACAGCACAAGTACATATAACAACACAGAAATATAACAGCACAGGAACATATAACAACACAGAAATATATAACAGCACAGGAACATATAACAACACAGGAATATATAACAGCACAAGTACATATAACAACACAGAAATATATAACAGCACAGGAACATATAACAACACAGGAATATATAACAGCACAAGTACATATAACAACACAGGAATATATAACAACACAGGAACATATAACAACACAGAAATATATAACAGCACAGGAACATATAACAACACAGAAATATATAACAGCTCAAGTACATATAACAACACAGGAATATATAACAGCACAGGAACATATAACAACACAGAAATATATAACAGCAGAGGAACATATAACAACACAGGAATATATAACAGCACAAGTACATATAACAACACAGAAATATATAACAGCGCAGGAACATATAACAACACAGGAATATATAACAGCACAGGAACATATAACAGCACAGGAATATATAACAGCATAAGTACATATAACAACACAGGAATATATAACAGCACAGGAACATATAACAACACAGGAATATATAACAGCACAAGTACATATAACAACACAGGAATATATAACAGCACAGGAACATATAACAGCACAGAAATATATAACAGCACAGGAACATATAACAACACAGGAATATATAACAGCACAGGAACATATAACAACACAGGAATATATAACAGCTCAAGTACATATAACAACACAGGAATATATAACAGCACAAGTACATATAACAACACAGGTATATATAACAGCACAGGAACATATAACAACACAGAAATATATAACAGCACAGGAACATATAACAACACAGGAATATATAACAGCACAGGAACATATAACAACACAGAAATATATAACAGCACAGGAACATATAACAACACAGGAATATATAACAGCACAGGAACATATAACAACACAGGAATATATAACAGCACAAGTACATATAACAACACAGAAATATATAACAGCACAGGAACATATAACAACACAGGTATATATAACAGCACAGGAACATATAACAACACAGGAATATATAACAGCACAAGTACATATAACAACACAGAAATATAACAGCACAGGAACATATAACAACACAGAAATATATAACAGCACAGGAACATATAACAACACAGGAATATATAACAGCACAAGTACATATAACAACACAGGAATATATAACAGCACAGGAACATATAACAACACAGGAATATATAACAGCACAAGTACATATAACAACACAGGAATATATAACAGCACAGGAACATATAACAACACAGGAATATATAACAGCACAAGTACATATAACAACACAGGAATATATAACAGCACAGGAACATATAACAACTCAGGAATATATAACAACACAGGAACATATAACAACACAGGAAATATAGCAGACAGAATATAAAACACAGAAATATAAAGCACAAGACATATAACAACACAGAAATATATAACAGCACAGGAACATATAACAACACAGGAATATATAACAGCACAAGTACATATAACAACACAGGAATATATAACAGCACAGGAACATATAACAACACAGAATATATAACAGCACAAGTACATATAACAACACAGGAATATATAACAGCACAGGAACATATAACAACACAGAAATATATAACAGCACAGGAACATATAACAACACGGGAATATATAACAGCACAAGTACATATAACAACACAGGAATATATAACAGCACAGGAACATATAACAACACAGGAATATATAACAGCACAGGAACATATAACAACACAGGAATATATAACAGCACAGGAACATATAACAACACAGAAATATATAACAGCACAGGAACATATAACAACACAGGAATATATAACAGCACAGGAACATATAACAACACAGGAATATATAACAGCACAAGTACATATAACAACACAGAAATATTGTCAGGAGTCAACAGAATACAGACGCTTGCGGATGTAAGAAGAATGACCAATATAATCACAAAGCAGAAGGGCAGAGCAAAAACGAGGTCACAAAAACAGGCAAGGAAGTCAAAAACACAGGTCAGTCCAAATAGGCAAAGGCACAAAAAGGGGTAAGGCAAAAGGCAGAGTCGAAAATACAAAATGGTGGTCAATAAACGGAAAAACAGGCAAGAATATACAAACACTCAGTAGATCAAAGTGA